AGAAAGCCTCATCTTTCTCCCGCAGAGCGGCTGGTAGTTTCGAACCGCTGACCTTAAGGTTCGCAGCCCGATTCGTAACCACTACGCTACTGCAAGTGTGGGTGTTCTTATGCGTGTGCCCTCTCTTCTTATAAGTTGGATGCTTCACTCTCCACTCTAGTCCTCTGTGGCTATGTCACTGACTCTGGGCCCAAGGGTCCCCAGGTCTTGCCACACTGCTGGCCAACCAGGTCTTCACCCAGGTTCACAGAAGTCTATTGAACGTTGTAGGGTTTAGCTCACCACTTACTTCATTGCTGTCTTTCCCTCACTTCCCCTTATTGGTGTTGAGCGGAGCATGGTCACCAATCACAGCATGTATTCCCATTGAGTCTTAGTCTTAGAAGGGGGTTTGCACTGAGGGGACCCGACCACTTGCCTTGATGTGACCTGGGCAGGCAAGTTGCTTGTTCTTGTAGTAATAGTCGGTCTGCCTATGTTGTTTTATATTTTTCCTGTGGATCTTTCTTTCAAGAAATATCTTCTGTTCTTCTAGCCACTCCAGGTTGGTCTGCTTGTCCTTTCAAGTGGTTCCCATCTCTGGAGATCTGTATGTGGTTCAGGCTTCCACCTATAGCCTTATTTATTGCAGAGGCTCTGCAGGAAGCCTCCTTCACTGGGCAAGTTGTAGCCCAATTTTAGGTATTCTAATCAGTTGTAAGGAGCTCTGGTAGCGTAGTGGTTACGAATCGGGCTGCGAACCTTAAGGTCAGCCAGCAGTTCGAAACTACTAGCTGCTCCGTGGGAGAAAGATGAGGCTTTCTACTCCCATAAAGATTTACACCCTAGGAAACCCTGTACAGGGTCGCTATGGGTCGGAACCGACTCGACGGCACTAACAACAACAACAAATTAGTTATAGGCAGAAGACGGACTTAATGCTTTTCGCTATTCCTTTCTCTCCCCCTCCAGTGTCTATTTTATAGTACAATGCAAGGAAAACCAAGATTCAAAAGACAGCCAAGCATCTTAATATTATTCCCTCCTTTTCCTCATTCCAACCATGGCTCGATCTCTGTATCCCAGAACCCTGTTGTTCACAGGTTGTGCATATATCATTCTTTACCTCTGTCTCACTTCGCCAATTGAGACCTGTCTAATTGTTCTCCCATCTGCTTTGTTCTTCCATTCCCGTCTCCCTCCTTGTATATTGCCCCCTCTCTAGCACCCAAACTATCCTGTGTCTAATTCCTGCCCTGTGCTCCACCTTCCTCTCCCGCCCCCCCAACATCCCAATAATCAACAAAGAATCCCCCTCATCCCCCTTTAGTATGAGTTCTTTCCCTTAGTCTTTTACAGTAGTGGTCCTATGCAGTATTTCTCTTTTTGTGACTGACTAATTTCACTCAGCATAATGTCCTCAAGGTTCATCCATGTTATGCGGTGGCTTGCAGCTTCCTTGTTGTTCTTCAAGGTAGCATAGTATTCCATTGTGTGTATGTACCACAGTTTGTTTATCCATTCTTCAGTTGATGGGCACTTTGGCTGCCTCCATCTTTTTCCTATTGTAAATAGTGCTCGTTTTTCTTGTGGGTAAATACCAAGTAGAGGAATTGCTGGATCATAAGGTATTTCTATTTTCAACCTTCTGAGAAAACGCCATATTGCTTTCCAGAGAGGTTGGACCATTTTGCAGTCTCACCAGCAATGCAGAAGTGTCGCAGTCTCGCCACATCCCCGCCAGCATTTATTGTCCTCTGCATTTTTCATCTTTGCTGTTACTGCTGGTGTGAGATGATATCTCATTGTTGTTTTGATTTGCATCTCTCTATTGGCTAGTGATCGTGAACATTTCTTCATATGTTTGTTAGTTGCCTGGATCTCTTCCTTGGTGAAGTGTCTGTTCATGTCCTGTGTCCACTTTTTAATTGGGTTATTTGTCTTTTTCTTGTTGAGGTGTTGTAATTTCCTATATATTTTAGAAATGAGTCCCTTGTAACGATGGCATTTTAAAAGATGTAGAATTATTGCTTGAACTTTTGGACGACCCTTTGTAAAGCAGTTCCTGATAAGGAGAAATGAGATTTCCATGATAAGGTTAGGACAATTATAGTACATTCTCTGGACCTGGATGAGGCATTTGATCCCCTTGATTTCTTATCCCAGTAACATCAGTGCTTTCACATTACAGCCGGAGAGGAGGATGGTGGGTAGGCAAATCCTAGTATGTACAGAATTGTAACATTTTCTACGTATTGCATAATTATTTCTTGTAAAAAGTGAAGTTGTAGTATTAGATATATCATTTAAGGCACATGTTACCCTCTAAATATGACTTCATGATTGCTGTGGTGGTGGTGGTGTTTATGTGCTGTGGAGTTGGTTCCGACTCATAGCGATCCTGTACAGGGTTTCCAAGGCTTTAAAATTGCTGTAAGAACTCAATATTGTTTTTCAGATCTTATTTATGGTATTCATTTTTGTCTTGGTTACAGTCATTTTCCTCTAAGATCAACCTAACTCCTCACTGATATTATATGATTTGGGCAATAATTTCTGGCACTTCTGTAATTCATTGGTAATTGTTCTCTTAGGTGGATTCTCAACGGTTTTCCTGGTGCGGACTCATGGTGGCGTACGGTGTGCATTGAAACGAATGTATGTCAATAACATGCCAGACCTCAACATTTGTAAAAGAGAAATTACAATTATGGTAAGCAGAAGAATAATTCTGTTTTCAAAATTTAGTGTATTTTCTTTGGTTTTGCACTATAATATAAATATATTTTAGGCAAGATGTTTATTGTTTACATACATTTGGAAAACCTTCAAAGAATATTAAATTAATTAGGAAAATTGTCTGGGAGTCTATAGTACATGGCTTTTAATCATTAGACCAAATACAGCCTCTGCTTTTCTTCTTTCCTGCCTTTTCTGTTGTAGTTCTATAGGTATACTACTATGCTTTATTTTTTAAAATCAATTTTAGTTATAGAATATTTTGAGAATATGAGAGGACTTAAAAAATTTAGTAGGAAAATTCCATTATTTTAAATTTCCATTTCCTTACACATTTTGTGAAGCCCTGTAATACAAAACTTTGGATTCCTGGTGTGGTGCTATAAGGATAAGCAGCCCACCTCAAGGTCAGTTTGAACCACCAGGCTAGTGGTTCACCAGCTGCTCCTCAGAAACCATAAACAGGGTCCCTATGAGTTGGAACCGACTTGATGGCACTTAACAACAAAAACAATACAAAAAAATTTAGAGAATTATCTAATGAGCATTTTTCCATCAAGCTTAAGAAAAAAACCTTATTTATGCAATTGAGGCTGACATGTATTCCTCTACAGCTTTAGCCTTGTACTGTCCTCCTGATCCGAAAAGAAACCACTGTCTAGGCAGAGGCGGTGGAATGTAGAGAGATAACAGCTGAGGACTGTAGGCCCGGGGACTGAGAAAGGCTGTGTGCCTGCGGGCAGAAAGCTGGTTTACATTTAAACCAATATGTATTTTCTGTTTTGTATGTGTACATCAAAAAAAAAAAAAAGAAAAAGGAATAGAGGTAAATACTGTTGACTGATGGTACATGGAGGGGATTGTAGTCATTGCAATGAAACAAAATATGTTTTATTGAATATAAAACTGATAATCTGTCCTGTAAAATTTCAGTCAATTCATAATAAAAACTTTATAAAAGATAGGATATGATGAATAGCAAAGTTTACATTTACAGCAGGGCATGTTTACTAGAGTGAAAATTATAATAATCTTCAAGTAAATCCTAAAGACTATATTCAAACCAGGTGTTGATAAAACAACAGACTTAACTATTTCTGAATGTTGCCATAGAATTGTTGTTACTTGAAAGCAGTAAAACTATTCTCTTAAAATGAAAAGAAAAGAAGCCACTGTCTTTGAGTTTGGTGTTTACTACCTTTTACCATCCCTACACTTTTGTCAGGCTTGTACTGTGGTAGTTCACATGTTGCTTTAAGCAGCTATGCCACTGGTGTATCAAATACCAGTGTGGTTATCCACAGTGGAAAGATTACAGTGGAGTTTCCAGAGTAAGACTGGACTAGGAAGAGAGAATAGGCAGTCCAATTCTGATGGATTAGCCCTTGAAAATGTTATAAATAGCAGTGAAACATTGTCTGATACAGTGCCAGAAGATGGGAAATCCCCTCACTGCCAGCACATAGCCTTTCTCTTTCCATGAGTTGAGAGTCCTCATCTGCATATCTCTCCATGTCCCCTTCTCTGCCTCCATCTCTGATGTCACTGCTTCTCTGGATAGAGTTCCACATTCTGCTCATGCTCTTCTCCCTTGATGGTCCTAGGGTCCTCTGTTCCTGGAATGTAAGATGAATTACTCCCCCCTTTTTGGTACTAAACATCTATCTTTACTATTGGGACAATCGCAATTATTTATGATTCCAGCTGTTCACAGTTGAATCATAAGAATCTTATCCCCATCTCCTTTCAAGATACCTGTCTAGACAAGCTGAAAACAATTCAGTGGGGATTCTACCTTTCCCTACACACTCTGAAACTAAACTCTCTCTTGAAAACTTGTAAGCCAGTCATTTTGTGCCCTTATTGCTCCCCCATTTTAGGTAGCCAGTGTCTAAGTTGCCTGTCCCTGTCACCCTGCTTACAGAGGGGGTAGGATGAAGACGTCTTCTCTCTCAGTTGGTATTTTGAGCTACTGCATCAAGTATAGGTCAAGTTCATCAAATTATAGCAATTTATACTTGTTTCCTTTATCAAAAAAATTTTAATTTTCTTTTAGTGGAGTTGTGATCTTTAAGCCATCGAAGCTAGGTCAAATGAGTATGATCTGCAAGTTTGGGCATTCTTGTGCGTTTCCCCTCATGGCATATCAGCTGGATGCTCCACTCTCAGTTCTAGCCCTCCATGGTATGCCCTTGTGCATGGGCTCAGGAGACCCCAGGTCTCACTGTACTTTGGATCAACCAGCCCTTCCTCTTCTCTCTGTCATCTCCAGGTCTATGGAATGTGGTTGGGCTCAACCCATATCTTCATTGTTGCCTTTCCCCTACTTCCACTCATCAGTACACCAGCATGGTCTCCAGCAAGCTTACATGGCTACTTGTGTGAACCCTTTGAGTTTCAGACTTGGATGGGTTTCTCCTGTAGGGACTTGATTGCTTGCCTTGATGGCTCTCCGGTGAACAACTTGCTTGCCCTTGTAGTAGCCATTCGTACTTTGTTGTTGTTGTTAATGTGCTGTGGAGTCGGTTCCGACTCATAGCGACCCTGTATAGGGTTTCCAAGGCTGTAAATCTTTACGGGAGCAGAAAGCCTCATCTTTCTCCCGTGGAACGGCTGGTAGTTTTGAACTGCTGACCTTGCTGTTCGCAGCCCGATTTGTAACCTCTACGCTACCAGAGCCATTCATACTACCGTGTTTTATTTTTATTTTTCCTGCTGCTATTTCTTTCAAGAAATATATTCTGTTCCTCTAGCTGCTCCAGGCTGGTCTGCTTGTCTTTTTTTTTTAGTGTTTTATTGTGAATTATATGATAGTTTACATGGGAGAACATTAGTTTTACATTCATTCTATTGTAAATCCTTTCATTGCCATGGTTACAATCCCCTCCATGCATCATCAACAAACCAAAGGGTATACCCTACAAGCCTGTCCCCTACACTACCCCACCCCCCTAGTCTTCAGCACACAGTCGCTCTCCCTCTCTGGATCTAAAGTCCCCAGCTGCTCCATCGCTCCACGTCATCGTCTCTGCCTCCATCTCAGGCATCACTGCTTCTCTGGGTAGGGTCCCGTTCTCGGCTCTTCTCCGTTGATGGTCCTAGGGACCTCCGCTCCTAGACTGGAAAGTTAATCACTCTCTTCCTTGCTATAAAACGTCTACCTTTACATTTCCAACCCTCACAATCAGTCCTGATAACAATTATTCACTATTGTATCACAAGACACCCATCTGCATTTCATTTCATCGGCTCTGCCTAGACAGATTGGATAGTACTCACTAGAGATTCTGCCTTCCTCCATGCCCCCTGTCTCTAGGTTCCCTCTTGAAAGCTTGTAAGCCAGTCACTTCTTGCCTTTGTAGCTCCCCCACCCCCACCCCATGTTGGGTAGCCAATGTCCAAGTTGCCCATCCCTGTCTACTCTATATGTGGAGGGGATGGGAATGATTCTTGCTGTAAGGATTTGTTCCCTCTTTTGAGCTACTGCTTCCATAGGTGTAGGTCAAGTTCATCACATTGTATCAGATTACTCTTTTTTTCCTCTTCTTTCTTCTTCTGGTTGAGTGCTTGTCTTTTCAAGTGGGAATGTCCCACCTCGGAAGGTTCTGGATGGGGCTCAGGATTACACCTAAAGTCTTATACACTACCAAGGCTTGCAAAAAGCCTAATTCACTGGGCAAGTTCTAGAACCCCTTTTAGGTAATTTCAGTGAGTTATAGGCTGAAGACAGATTTACAAGCTTTCAGTGATCATGTTTCCATATATTCCTTTTTATCTCACTTAAGGAACTCTGGCAGCGTAGTGGTTACAAGTCGGGTTGTGAACTGCAAGGTCAGCAGTTCGAAACTACCAGCTGTTCCATGGGAAAAAGATGAGGCTGCTGCTCCCGTAAAGATTTGCAGCCTTGGATTTCTGCTCCTGTAAAGATTTACAGCACTTAACAACAACAACAACAACAACAAAGTGTCTATCTTATAATGGTAGTCAAGGGAAACCAATATTTATAATACAGTCAAGCATCCTAACATTATTTTTCTCTTTTACTCAGGTGTCACAGAGCCCTGTTGTTCAAGGTTGTGCATACATAACTATTTACTTCTGTCCCATTTAGCCCATGCAAACCTACCTATGTGTTCCCCTATCTACCCTGTTCTTCCACTCCCCTACCCCTTCATGTGTACTGCCTTCTCCAGCACCCAAACTATGGTGTATCTATCCTCTACCCTGTGCTCTGACGTCCCCTCTCCCCCATCTCTGGTATTCTAGAAAGAATTTTTTTCCCCCCTTTTAGTATGGGTACTTTTCCTAAGCTTTTATAATAATTGTCTTATGTAATACTTGTATTTTTGTGACTGACTAATTTCACTCAGCATAGTGTCCTCAAGGTTCATCAGTGTTACGCGGTGGCTTGAGTTGTCTTGTTTTTCCTCAGAGTAGTATAATATTCCATTGTGTGTATGTACCAGAATTTGTTTAATCTATTGTTGCTCTGTACCCCTTGTTCATTTTGAAGGTTATCTAACACACAAGCTTATAAATTTACTTACCTATTTGTTGTTAAGTGCCTTTGAGTTGGTTCTGACTTATAGTGACCCTGTTTAGGGTGCCTGGAGTCCTGGTGTGTCACTGTGGGTTAATACACCAGACTGCAAAGCCCTTTGAACTGCAAGGTTGGTGGTTCAAGCTCACCAGCTGCTCCTCGGAAATCCTATACAGGGTCGCTATGGGTCAGAACCCACTCGACAGCACTTAACAACAAAAATAGGAGGTCTAAAGAGCGATTGGTGGCTTTGAATCGCTGACCAGTGTTCATCCCATAATGCCCTACCAGGACCTGAACTAGTTACACATAAATTTCAGTATTTTGCAGATAAAACAAAATGAAAATGTATGTTAATTTTTAAATGTTGTTGTTAATGTGCTGTTGAGTCGGTTCCCACTCATAGTGATCCTGTATAGGGTTTCCGAGGAGCGGGCTGGTTAGCTTGAACCACAAATTTTGAAGTTCAAACTGACTTTGCAGTCAAGTGCATTAACTTGCAATACCATACTGGGACTCCTAGCTTATAAATATTAGCGCTTAATTCCTTTATTTTTTAAGAATAAAAATAAGGCCATCTTTATCTTGCATACTCTCTTGGAGACTATTACTTTAGGGTGAATCATCTTTTTCTCCATGTTTGAATTTAAATATATTCATTTATTGAAAACTTATTGGTTAGAAAATGACAGTCATATACAAGTAGACTTTAGTTGAAACCATAGGACCTTTGGTTGGTTAAAAATATGCTGGATTCTCCTTTAAGCTATTGCTAATGATTTAGCTTTAAAGTGTGTGTGTGTGTGTGTGTGTGTGTTTTTTTTTTTTTTTTTTCTTCGGTTTTCCTCATTTTGTTTTTCTGTTTTACAGAAAGAGCTATCTGGTCACAAAAATGTTGTGGGTTATTTGGACTGTGCTGTTAATTCAATTAGTGATAATGTATGGGAAGTGCTTATCTTAATGGAATATTGTCGAGGTAAGTAATTATCTCTCTGCATTTGTATCATCCTAAAAAAAGAAATCCCTTTAAAATAGGTTGATAATGTGTCTTGGTTTCTCCCAGGGCAGCTGTCACCTGGTTTAGACACTTATTATTGCAACCTTAGATTTAATTAGCTGCCTAATTAAAGAAGGCTGTTGAAAAAAAAAAAAGAAAACTTAGTCATAGTTGCTGCACTGATGGGCTTGAGCATTTAATCTTAAATAGAAATTGAAAAAATACAGTTGGGTTTAAAACAGGAAATCTGAGCAGCAGTTAGACTCATGCTCCCTAGCCAATTTTTTTTAATTTTTTATTTTCTAACTGAGAAGAACATAATGTGTCAATATTTGTATTATAAGGGTTTTACCAGCACTCTTGCATGCTGTCTTTAAATCATACTAAATTTAGTACTTACCGAGGAAGCATTTTGATATATAATCTTCAAAAACCTGTGGTAAATTTTGTTGTTGTTGCTACATTGTAACTATCACAAAAGATAGAAAGCCATGCTTCATATGAGTTTAATATGGTATTTTAAAAGAAGCATTTACTTTTGTATAGTGTGACTTGGACCCCTGGTATGGTGCTGTAGTATCAGCAGTGGGCTGCTAAACATAAGTTCAGCTGCTCTAATCTACCATCTGCTCCTCAGAAACAGAGTTGCTATGAGTCAGAACCGACTTGGTGGCACTTAACAACAACAACAACAACATAGTGTCACTTAGTAATAATGACAATAATTAATGCCTAATTGTTATTTTCTTTAGTGTATATACAGGGGACAATCAATCCAAATTTTATGAAATTGATTTCTTTATTAGGCTGTGTTTAACATTTGGGGTCTGGAGAGCAGTGGTTTATATTTAGACTTTCCTAAGACTGATGGAAATGCTTGTAGTTTCCTGAAGACTGGAGGATGAAAGTGATGGTTGTTGTTGTTAAGTGCCATCTAGTTGGTTCTGACTTATAGCAACCCTGTATAGGGTTTCTGAGGAGCAACTGGTGAGCTTGAACCATAGCCCTTGTGGTAGTAAAGCAAATGTATTGTCATTTATTACAGTCGTATAAGAAGTCCTGGTATGGCAACAAGAAGAAGGAAGGAAGAAAAAAGGAAAGAAAAGGAAATTGATATACTATATATATATATATATATTATGAAGTTCTTCTAGTTTATTTACATATATAAATTAAAATAGACGTTCTTGACTGTCTTATTTGTAAAATGGTCTTCTCTTCTGTCCTTCTGTACATTGTAACCTCTAATTCTTAGGTGTATTGGAGTTGACCAATGTTAGGTCGCTGTTTTTTGTTGTTTTTGTTAAGTGCTGTTCAGTCGATTCTGACTCAGCAATCCAATATAAGGTGTCCAAGGAGTGAGTGTTGAGTGTGAACCATTGGCTTTGGTTGTTGTTAGCTGGTGTCAACTCATTTCCAGCCCAGAGCTACCCTAGGTACACCAGGGTCACAATTGTTGTGACCCTATGTATGCCATCCTCATAGCTGTTGCTATGCTTGAGCCTATTGTTGCTGCCACTGTGCCAGTCCATCTTGTTGGGGGTCTCCTTTTTCACTGTCCCTCCCCTAGACCAAGCATAATGTCAGTCTCACAGAAGTGGTCCCTCTTGATATTATATCCAAAGTGTGAGATTGGCAGTCTTGACTTCTGAGGAACATTCTGGTTGTACTTCTTCCAACAAAGATTTGCTTATTCTTCTGGCAGTCCATACTACATTTAATATTCATACCAAACCCAATCATAATATAAATGCATCAATCTTACTCATTGTCCAACTTTCACATGAATATGAAACTATTGAAAATACATAGCTCTTGAACAATTTAAAGAGGTCGTGTGCAGCAGATTTGCCTAATGCAGTAATGACGTTTGATTTCTTGACTGCTGTTTGCCTGAGTGTTGATGGCTGACTGAGGAATATGAAGTCTTTGACAACTTCAGTCTTCTCTCCATTTATATGGATGTTATTTATTGGTCAAGTGGTGAGGATATTTGTTTATTTGCATTGAGGTGCAAGGCGTACCAAAGGCAATAGTCTTTGATCTTCATCAGTAAGTGTTTTTTAAGTCCTGTAGCTTTCAGCAAGCAAGGTTATATCATCTGCATATCACGTGTTGTTAATGAATCTTTCTCAAATTCTGATGCTGTGTTTTTCTTCATATAATCCAGCTTCTCGAATTATTTGCTTAGCATGCAAATAGAATAAGTATGATGAAAAAATACAATCCTAACACACACTTTCCCAGATTTTAAACCACTCAGTGTCCCCTTGTTCTGTTCAAACAATTGCCTTTTGGTCTATGTACAGGATCCTTAGGAGCACTTAGTGTTCTGGAATACCAAATGAACACAATTTCTGCAATGTTGCCCATAGTTTGGCATGATCTACAGACTCAAAAATGTATGCGTAGTCAATAACAGTATTTGCTTTTATTCCTTTTGGGTTTTTTATTGTGGATTGAGTGGAAGTTTACAGGGCAGATCATCAGTTTTACATTCAACAAATCATACCCTTGTTTTATTACAATGATTATTATATTCCCTCCATGTACCATCAGTTAACAGTCTTTCTCTCTAGTCACTTTAGTTTTAAAACAACAAAAAAGCAAAAAACCCCACTCAGGCACATATAATAATTTACACTTCCAAAGGTCACATTCGTCAAATATGCTTCCTGGCCACCAGCTCTTAGTCTCTCTCTTCCCATGAATCTGGAGTCCTCAGCCGCCCCCCTTCTCCTTATCCTCTTTGGATAAGGTCATGCATTCTGCTTGTGCTCTTCTCCCTTGATGGTCCACAGAGCTCTGTTGTTTCCAAGGTAGAGCATGCATCACTATTTACCTCTATCCCAAAAAACAAATCTGTCTCAGTGTGTCCCTATCTGTCTTGTTTTTCCAGCTCCTCTCCCTTCTTGTATTGCCCTCCCCAACACCTGAACTAAGCGCCCCCAACCCAGCCTCACTGTTACAATTACCTTATATTCCATTAACTTTTCACTCATTTTAAGACAGTCTATTTTATCCTGTAGTCTACTCGACCTTCTTACCACCTGGATTTCTGTTGCTCTGTGTTTACCTTCTTTCACATTATAATTGGTTTGATCATAGATTGACCTCCCAGAGCCTTTGTTCTTATAATTTTATTCTCTTCTTGACCTTTCCATTTGTTGATTGAGTTCAGGGTGATGCTGCCATGTATGTCAATCTCTGGTTGTTGTCTGTTCTTGTTGGTTTTCAGTCTACAGAATTTCCTTTAGGATGTTTTTCATGACAGGGTTGGCTTTGGCAAAATCCCTTAGCTTCTGTTTATCCTGGAATGTTTTGATCGCACCATCATATTTGATTGACAGCTTTGCTGGGTAGAGGATTCTTGGTTGGCAGGTGTTTTTTTTTTTCTTTCAAGGTTTGGTATCTGACTCCCCATTGCCTTCTTGTCTGCATGGTTTCTGTTGAGAAATCTGAGCTTAATCTGATTTGCTTTCCTTTGTATGTTACACTTCTCTTTTCCCTAGCTGCTTTCAGAATTCTGCCCTTATATTTGATTTTGGAGAGCTTGATTATTATATGTCTTAGTGATTGTCTTTTAGGGTGTATCCTTCCTGGAGTTCGATGAGCTTCTTACTGCTTATCTTTTCGCTTTTCAGGATGTTAGGGAAATTTTCTTTCAGTAGCTCTTTAAATATCTCCTCTGCGGACTTGTATGATTCTTCTTGTTCAGGAATGCTGATAATTATTAAGTTATTCTTCTTCATGTTGTCCAACATGAATCTTAGGCCTTCTTCAGAATTTTTTTAATCATTTTTTGTGCTTGCTCTTCTATCTTAGTAGTGTTGAGAGCTTTATCTTCTGGCTCACTAGTTCTGTCACTGCTCCTTTGTCCTTTCAGTGTATTGTCCATTTCTGATATTCTATTATTAATCATTTGGACCTCTTTCTGTAGGCTTTGAATTGTTTCCAATGCTGTATCTATCTTATTTGATTGTTCTTGTAGCACTTTCCTGACTTCTTCCTTAATTTTCTCAACTCCATTGTAAAGTGTTTTGATACATTTTATAATCATTTTTCTGAATTCCTTTTTAGGCATTTCCAAAGTATGGAGTGTAGGTCTACTTCCAGCTCATTTGCCTCAGTCACTTAAGCTTGTTTCTGGACATGTCCTGTTATGGTCATCTGTTTCTGTTTTTTTGGGCATATTCAGCAGTTATCTGTGGCCTTAATACTTAGATGGGTGTGGAGTGTGTCTTTTGGTATTTTTTATGCTTTTTGATTCCCTCTAGGTAGATATTATCAGGAGATGGGCTTCCCTTTTCAATCTTCTTTCTGAGAAATTTCAAGATGCCACTGTTGGTCACTGTGACGTAACTCAGGATTTAATTTTCAGCCCATTTCCCTTTTTGTTTGTCTGTCCCGCTCCATAATCCCCATTCAGGCCTTTTTCATAGTGATAAACAGTTCAGGGCCAACTGTGGCCGTTTGCAGTGTTGTTTGGTTTTAAGTGGAAACTTACTTTAAATTTTGAGGAGATATGTGCGCATACATAGTAGAACCCTCCAGGGGTGGGGGTTGGATGTCTACTCGCTCAGGCACCCCCTCTAGTCACCAGAATGGAGGTGTATAGACAGTGAGAGACCAATGAACAGATACCAAATAAGAATGTCCACAACTTTATCTCTGCAGTTCTGTCAGGCATCTATGACTGCTCTGATTGTTCCCAGCTTGGTCCCTCCCAAGATGGTGGCTCTGGGAGCAGCTGACCGTCTTGAATTAGAAAGCAATGGATTTCTTGCTTCTGGTACAAATTCCCCTAGCTGTAAGCCTTCCAACCTTCTAAATACTCCTTTATATGTGATTCAGAGTTCTGGCACCACCCCCTCATCCTGCTTAGTCCAGTATTCTGTGTTGTTACTGATGGAGCTCCTCACTGCACTTCTTCCTGATCTACCATCTTGTTTGTTGTACCCTATTTAAAATTTTTATTT